GTACATGATGGCGCTACGGAAGCACCTATTTATCTTGATGACGAATTTATTACTGATACCAGTATATATTACCCTCCAATAGAAAAGCCCTCAGTTTTGAGCTTTTTTTCTGAGACTGTGAAGTTATATGACATTTTGGCAGAGATTTTAAGCATTTTTTATTCTGATAGTGGACCTGATTGTGTGGATTCCCTTGTAAGTATATTCAAATTTCAAGAAAGACTATATGATTTTCAGGATAGTATTCCAAACCATATTAAATATAGCCAAGGGTTACTCGAATCACCATATCAAAGGCAAAGTATTTTACTACATATTAGGTACTTACATTTGAAAATTATGCTTTACAGACCTGTTTTATTTCCAAAGAATAGAGACCATGTATCTAATAATGGAATAAATCGCACAGAATTATACATGTCCAGTCAAAGATCTATTTCCAAGTTGTGTGTAGAGACAGCCATGGACTTAATCAGCATGATCAGTAGGTATAGGTCGGCTGATATAACTTTACTTCCTGCTATATGGTACAACGTCTTTTATATTTATACAGCTGCATCTGTCTTATTAGCTGCAAAACTTCAACCTTGTTTACAGGATGATTTAGATAAAATAAAGTTCGAGTCGTCTTGGAAAATGATGACCGAACTATTATCTTCTTATAAGTCGCAGTCAAAATCTGCAGCTCGATGTTTGAAAGTCTTAGAGATGATGAACGATAAAATCAAATTCACTAGTCACACACGTTCTAAGCATGCATACTATCATCATCAACCAGAAGAAAATTATTCTACTCATAGTGAATCTGAAGTTCCTAATGATTTGCTTTATTCATTGATGTATGACACTGAAGGTCCTTTTGGAGGTCCATTTATCTATAATAATGAATTTGATCGAATTATATGATAATAAAGGCAATTATGTTCTTATAGTATGAATTATTCTAATAGATAAGAAAAGTAACCTCATCATGTAGTCAACTAACTATATCTTATTTTAAAATAACGTATGTAATTAGGTATTCACGAAAGTATTTCATCTTTGATGCTTAGGTATAATATACGACTAACCAGAGTCGTAAATATATTAAAATAAATACATAGTTCTCCTAGTTTTTCGTTCTAAGACCAAAGATATGAACGACAAACATATTTAAAACACCAAATATGACTACAAGTCCTACCATCAAACCCGCTGCACCTGCGTATTTAAGCCTCTCAAACATCAATGCAAAGTAAAATGGTCCAGTGAATCCAAAAA